TGGTTATGTAAATGCTTTGTGTATTTTCAGTTTGTAAGCCAACATCTATCCACATACTTGACCTAAAACACTGCACTTCACTCATGTAATACAGTGATAGAAAAACCATAAAACAAAGGAATATTCTCCTAAATTGCCTTAGCCTTAATATCACTTTGGCATAGTTAAAAAAAAAAAAAAAAACAAGGAAACTCAGATGAAGTAAAGCTTAGTTACCCAAATTGCWGTGAGTTCTACTTTTTAAATATTTAAGTCAATAAAATCCCTTCAAAGACTGTTTACCCCAATGTTTTTTAATGCAAAATACATTTCAGTTTTGCAAACAAGAAAGAAGAGTAGTTTTGTAGATTCCGTTTGGGTTGTAGTGACCCAATTATCTGGTCAAAGGGCTGCATGGATGCAAGAGACAGGGCGAGTTAAAGTTTAACTCCCAGGAATTGTAAACCAAACCTAAAGCCACTGAACCTTTGGAGTTTGATATGACGATTAGAACATAACCGGAGTGACACGTTGAATTCGCCATAATCAAGGAACCTTTTCCAGGTGGGGATCTCTGAAATTACTCAGGTATGGTCCACTCGKTTTGTTTTCTCTATTTCAATTTGGAAACTGTGCATTATGGTACTAGTGAGGATGCATGAAAACAGCTTTTACTCTCTTCTATTCCTAAACCTAATCTATGCTGCTATGTTTTGCTCCTTGATCTAAAACAAAAGTAGCTCAGGACTGTGGGGTCAAGAATGTGAGAATGCTCTGAGAAGTTTATTTAGCTCTAGCCAGACATCATGGAGAGCTGTGGTGGACTTCCTGTCCTGGTCCAAGGACCCTGGAAACAGAAATGTAATTAACAGGAAAAATAATAGTAACATCCCTGGCAGATTCGGAGTTCTCTATACAGGTCATAATTCCTATCATATTTTAGACTTAATGCATTCAATTATCTCCTTCACTACCACTACTATAAAAAAAGAAAACCTCGTGGTGAATTCTTGCTATTTCCTCTGCCATTACCCTGATAACCAAAAGAATGCCCTAAACTATTTGCTTTTGATTCTAGCAAAAAAGAAAACAAAAACAGTTATGGAAAATTACTGACATTTGTGTGTTAAAACTCAACCTTGGAGTGGCTAATTATTAGATAGTTGCCACAGTTTGGACAACTGTACTGTGGTGGATATATTTTTATGTTATCATTTTGTTCACCCCCAAAAAAGATGATTCATGTTCTTTCTTCAGAACATGATGTGCTCTGAAGAAAGAAACCCATCAGGGCATTTGACAGGATTATTCCATTCCTACCAGAAATCTCCTCAACTCTTTAATCGGAACACTTTTGTTTTATGATTACCCAAGTTAAGTTCCAAAATAGTTAAATAGATAAGTTTCTTTATTAAAAGAATTCTCAGATGAACATTGTGTATCTTCGAGAATATGAAATATGCAATATTATATGTATATTATACTTTGCAAAATATGCACTCTTAAGTCCTACTCCATTTATAACTTAGGAGCATCAAAAGTGTGTTGCATTGGCCTGAAGCATTCTTTATAATATGATGGAAGCCCAGTGGGAAGATAGATCTGCAAAAAGAAGTGAAATCACTTACTTGTCAAAGTAGTAAGACTTTCTCCAGTTAAATACAGAGCAATAAACAAATGACTTACAGGGGTCATTCTTAAGGATGTTTTCTGGAATAACATTGATACTACCCATTTTAGACATTTTGTACATTTCACTGCTCCAATTTATTATTTATCAAGTGTAAGGGAAGTGAAAGGATAGTTGGCAAGAAAAAGAAATAAGTTGTTACGGGCAGACATTATGACACAATAGATCTAAAAATCACTGACTACTTTGTCATTTCCAGCAGGGCTAATACCAAGTTCGTTTTGCAGTACTTCAAATATCAACATATCCTACACTGTACTGAATGGTTAATAAGTGTAGCACAAAAAAAGCAACTCCATAGTCAAATAAGTTGAGGATATGGTGTTAAAGTGTCCTTCTTACTATTTGATATGAGTCTTTTGAGTAATAACATTGATTAAACACCATATTGGTTAAATGCAGTTCCAAGCACTCTCCATACATTTATCTCATGTTATTCTCAGAACAACCAGATGAGGTAGACACTATCATGACAAAACTGAGGTACAATTTACCTAAGGCTCACTGTCACCACTTAGCAAGTGAYGGCTCCCCCCCCAGCCAGGTGGTCTTACTCCAGAACACTGATAGGGAGCTATTTGCATAAGTGCAGGGGATTTGCTATGTGTGTAAATAGGTCCATTCATTGTGCATAATCAAGACAGTATGAAGTGTTTTGTTTCCTAAGTTGGACAACAGAGTATCTTCTTCCAGGAATATTTATTGATGCTTCTCAGAACTGCTATTCCTTGGAACAGAGATTAAGGAAGAATAAATCATTTTTATAGCTCATGCCTGGCATTCATAGCAGCCAGAATCAATTGAAATCATCACTTTTGAAGTTATGGCAGTCAAACATGTCTAAGGTCCTTACATTCTCCATTTTCCATCAGCTATGCCTGGCTGAGAAGCTTTTCATAAAGAACATTGGACTTTTCTCCAGACAAAGCTGGTCAGAATGCTAGTTCCCAAATTCTCTTAGGCATATAAATTTGTGCATATTATTTGACTTTCTTGAGTCTCAGATTCCTCAAATGTGGAATGGGTATAAAATCTACTCCACAGAATTTTGTGACAATGAAATAAAATGATAAAGCAAAATAGTTAAGCACAGTCCCTGGAGCTTAGGAATTCAGTAAAACTCTCTTCCCTTTCTATTTCCCTATTTGTACCAATATCCAGAATAACTTCCTGAAACTTATCATTGGTTTTTACTAATGTTTGAACTTACCCAATAGTTCTTTTTTGTCAAAAAAATTYTATTAAAATAGAAAACTATGTAAATGATGAAGTTTTGAATGATTACAGATCATATTCCATTTATTCAGAGAAACAACCTTAATTTTTTTAATATTAGCACACACAGTGTATATTTTTATTTTAGAGAATGTTGCTCAAAACTCCCAAAGCCCAGCATACTTTTTGCTCAAACCCACAGGACACTCTGGTAAAAGTGTATACTCATTTCATCACACAGTCCGTTGATGTTAAAATTCTGTCTTAGTAGCTATCTTTTAAAATACTGTCATTTCAGGGCTGGAGTTGTAACTCAGTGGYAGAGCACTTGCCTAGCAAAAGTGAGGCACTGGCTTTGATCCTCAGAACCCCATAAAATAATAATAATAAATAAATAAAATAAAGATTTTTTTTAAATACTGTCATCTCTTAGAAAGCAGGGTAGTACTTTGGGTACTATTGCACAATGGCTTTCATTACCTTATGTGTGGATAAATGACTCAATAAGTTCAAACAAGACAGTATTGATCGACAGAGGATAAACACCATTTTATCTTATTCATGGAAACAGTAACCAGGCTCCTGTAAAGTGCAGTTCTAACAGTCCAAACTCCCCCAGGAAAAGTGGATGGAAAAGGAGCCCCATTCTCACTGTGACAGCCTTGTATTAGAAATCTAATTCCATCTGCTACTCGGCCTGAAACTATGAATCTAGGCAGTTATTATTAACAAATATTTACTACCAATTGGATCAGGAAAGTTAGTTTATAATTTTATGCCCTCAAACTCATTCCAACCAGTTTATCAGCCTTAAACACAATTTAGAATTTTTACCGTAATAAACTAAAATTTTGCATTGCATGTGTTTGGTTAATGCAAATCAAAAATTAAAATATAATGTCCCTCTTAACCCAAGGGATTGATTCCAGGACCCCTGAAGGGCACCAAAAATCTTCAGATGCTCCTGTATCTTATATAAAATGGCATAATGTTTGCATAGAGTTTACACATATCCCCCTTGCACTTAAATCATTTCCACTTGTTACACTTAATGCAATGTAGATGCTATTAAATAGTTGTTATATTGTATTGTTTGGGGAATATTGTTCAAGATAGAAGTCTGTATATTTTCAGTACAGGTGCAATTTTTTTTTCCAAATATTTTCAACCCACAGGGTAATTTGTAGATGGGGAAGCTACAGRTTTATAGAGACAACTGCATTTTCTTTTGTAAAAAAATAGTTTTCTCTAMAATATCCTGATATCTTCAGCTTTTCAGTTGATTTTTAAAGGAATATAAGCTAAGCTTCTCCTTTGTAATTTCCATATATATATGGGTGAAATTTTGTGTATACAGGTATTAGAAATCATTTGGAAAACATCTTCCAGGTTTGCTTGTTTTAACAGGGRTCAGTCTCTGGTAAAGTTAGGAGGAAAGTAGTGATGAGGATGGAAGATAACTCCCTCTACTTTGCACAATTGTGTGCAGTGTTCTGCTCCAGTAAATGATACGACTAAAGAGAATTAGCACATGACAATTTGGCCAGACTGAATGTCTAAGTGAGCAAATTGGTTTGTAATTCTATAAAATTCCCTTTTCAATTATGTAGTAATGTCTTCCCTTCCTCCAACAATTAAAAACTAATCATTGTTTTGGGATGCCCAATTGATTTAAAGAACATTTGATCTAAGTAGTAGAATTAACTACTTGAGTTGCTTATTTCCATAGAATATTCTAGTTTATTAAAGTATTTCATACAGAAGAATTTATATGGACTTTTTAACGTCAAATTTCTTTCTAAACTTAATATGTCTTTACTTTAAGTTACCTGAGTCCATTTTTTCATCATCCCACGTGTACAAAACTAGTGACTTGGAAGATACCCTTGCCTCCTCTGTGTATGCAGCATAGTGCTGATGATGTGATGGGCCTTCAACTACTCTACTGAACACTAACTCATCTCTTGCTCAATCAAGATGCTAAATGAAACAATGAAGAGAGTACATAGTGTCCATAGTGATGTAAGAGAAAAAAAGAGTCCATGAAGAAAACATCCCTGAAAAGATGAAAGCCAGTCCAGATACTATAATACCCAGCGAAAGAAGTGAAGGAGTGATCATAAACAGGCTGTCAGGGGACTGGTGAAGCATTATGTACACATGTAATTGTGTTTCATTTCCAGTATCTTTAATGTTCTACTATTTATCTCTTTTATTGGGATTCTGTTTAGTGCTTATCTTTTCTGCTAGAAACTCACCATGAAGTAAAATGGCTTATTAGATATCCTTAGATCCTGATGCCTTTCATTATTTGCAGTAGAAGTTAGAAATCAGAATCTGATTCCATGGCAGAGGGGCAGGGGGAAATGTGCTGGCCCTCAGAGATGTCCATCCCAGACTTAATAGGACCAACCAGCCCTTCGTGACCTGGGCATTTATTCCCAACCAATTAATTAACCTTATAGTACTAATAATGATATTAATAATAACTTGAACATTCTCATCTAGCTTTGGCCAGGTGCCAGGGCACAATAGTGAACTCATTTATTCCTCCTATAAACTATATTCTACTGTTATGTCATTTTTCCAACCAAGAAGCTAAGGCTTAGGGATATGGTTAACCTTCTCAAACTAACAAGCTAATAAGTAGTGGAGGAGGAGTGAATCACAGTACCACCCTGCAAACCAAGGACAAATGGAATACTGAAAAGCATTGAGGCTTGGTAACAGAAAGAAACTGTGAGATCTTCTGGCAGAGTGAAGAGCTAAGTGAATTTCCCAAGAATAGAAGACACTTTTGATTAGGATAAGAAATCAAATGCAAAACTTCAACCCTCATGTGGGGCCTAGCCATTACAGCACCTCCCACTGCACTTTTTTTTTTGTACTAGGAATGAACAGAGGGGTGCTTTACCACTGAGCTAAACCCCCAGACTTTTCAATTTTATTTTATCTAATTTTTTGTGGGGAGGAATAGGGTCTTGCTAARTTGCTTGGTGCTCCACTGAGTTACTAAGTTATTCTAACTTTGGATCCTCCTACCTCAGCCTCTCAAGTTGCTAGKATTACAGGCATACACTACTGCACCCYGCAGCATTTGTAAATCAACCTGATTATCTAAATTATAGGACACAGTATTAGTAGGACCTCCATGATTAAGAGGAAATCTACCTTAAATCCCTCCCTCCTTTCTATACCCACACCACAGACTGACACAGACATTCTATTAAAATATTCTTTTTTTTAATTTAATTGATTTTATTTTTTTAAAATACATGACAGCGGAATGCATTACAATTCTTATTACACATATAGAGCATTAAAAGATTCTATTAATTCTATTGAAGCCCATTTTGTGACTTGGGAGACAGGTTCAAATCACAGAGGAGACATGTGCAGGCAGGGGTGTTGTGGATATAGTACAGGATCTGCCCTGGAGATATTGCTGAACATACAAATAATTGTCTTGAAGGGCTTGGCTTCCTCATCTAAACTCTCTTAGTGTCTAAAGAGGACCTAGCACTTCCCATCTAGAGGACAAACCTTCTCCTCAGGGGAAAAATATCTGGGCTGCTAGGTCCATGTCTGCTAGCAAAGTCCCATATTAGACTGACCTAATTTGGAGCTTTAAATTAAGACTCAGGTGCTCCCATGAAGCAGTTCCACCAGCCAGAATAATAGGCTTAGGATAACAATGAGTTAATTTCCAGAAGTTTCTTGTTATAAGACAAGATGGTATTTCATTGTTAAAATATAGATTAGGTGGGGTGCAGGATGTAAGTGATGGGAACACTTCAGCCTAAAATCACTGAGCAGATGAACCAAGTTGGCAAAGYATGGTGGGATTGGTGCTCAGAAGTTCAGTTCTAATGACAGGTAAGGGAAAAAGTGGAACACTGGTCACCCAGGGTGACCAGAGAGGGATACAAGGGTCTGGAATGGCAGGTATTTGTTTGACCTTTGAGGCAGAATATACTTATTAAATGATTTTGATTTGTTATTAAAGTCATTTGAGCACCATACCAGATTCTAATTCCTCTGGGTCGCCTCCTTATTGTAACAGGTACTTACCACCAGTGCACTGGTGAGCTGGAATCACCCAGGGAATGCCATTATATGGCCCCTGAAGATAGTCTAAGGGGAAAAGCTCTAACACCTAGAAACTCATTTTATTTGCCTTTTCAGAAACAAGCCATAAAAATCAAATATTTTCTATAATAATAATAATTCAGTAACCCAGAATTGTAAAGTCTTCTCTAAAGACCAATGATGGTTAGTGCTGGAAYGGCAGACAGAAACAGAATGTATGTTAAAGTAGGAGATTCTAGACCCAAAATGCCTAGGTTCAAATTCTGTCCCCACCGTTTGCTATTGTGTGACCCTAAACAAGTTATTTACCTTGTCTGTGCTTGTTTTCTCTTATGTTAAAGTTGGGAGTGTTTCAAGAAGTAGATCAGATATTATATATGAAGTTCTTAGAATAATACCAAGCAAGTGTGCATAACTCTTAGCTATTGTAGCTATTATTCCCATCAAATTTCTGTTTGRTAACAAAATGCTGTAATAGAAGAAAATGGTTATTAGAGATGCTGTGAGATGAAACTGTAGAGGATAGTTTTTAGATTGGAATAAGGTGGCTGAGAAATTAATTAGAACCTCACCATTGATATGTAGTGCATGCTTGGAAAMCAAGAATGAATGAAAAATGCACTCATTAAAACATCAAGTCTCTGTAATGTGCTACATAAATAACTGGTACCAGGATTATCGACAAAACACAGCAGACACCTGCTTCTACATTGGCATTTCATGATTACCACTTCAGCTGTTTATATATTCATTTAACTATTAAATATATGCAAAGAAATCCTACTCTTCTTATTAAGCTATACCATTTTAGAATTCTAAATTCAATGCAGAGTGCCCCTGAGTTCAATTCCTGGTACCCCTCACCCCCAAAAGATTCCTTTTTATACTCACTCCTGTGTTAATGAATATTTTCAAAATTTGAGTTTTAAATGGGAGTTTTTAGGGGTCTTTTTTGTGGGGGTACCAGAGATTGAACTCAGCAGCACTCAATCACTGAGCCRCATCCCCAGCCCTGTCTTGTGTTTTATTTAGAGAAAGGGTCCCACTGAATTGCTTAGCACCTTGCTTTTGCTAAGGCTTACTTTGAACCCGCAATCCTCCTGCCTCAGCCTCCCAAGCAGCAGGGATATTCCTGGCACTTGAATAATTACAAGAAGATAGAAATCAGATTAATCAGTGTTCTCCAGAGAAAGACAAGTAATAGGGTGTTTGTGTGTGTGTGTGTGTGTGTGTGTGTGTGTGTGTGTGTGTACACACGTATATTTATTATATCTATAGATTTATTATATGAAATTGGCTCATAAGATTATGGAAGAAGAAACCCCAAGACTTGTATTCAGAAAACAGAGGAAACCTGAGGAGCCAGTGAGGGGGCAGTCCAAGTCCAAGGCCTGAGAGCCAGGGCAGCCAGTGGTATAAGTTCCCATCTTGAAGCTGACAAGCTGGAGACTCAAGAAGTCAAATTTTCATCTTGAGCAACCCACTGGGAGTTTCCTTTAAGTGTTGTTTGTTCTACAGAGGTCCTCAGTTGATCCATGAGGCCACTCACATGAGAATGGCACATCCCTTAACTCAGTTTACTAATTCAGACTTTAATCTCATCCAGAAACGTTCTCACAGACACTCTAAGAATAACATGTGCATATTATCGTCACCCAGGGAGCTTTAAAATATACCATTTCCTGGGCCTCAGGCCAGATCAGTTGAATCAGAACCCTGCAGAGTGGAGAGGACACCTGAGCACCGGTGACTGTGACAGGAAGCCAGGCAGGAGGTCTGTTCCTGGGGCATTGCTCCTGCATCTCCCTCCTGTTGTCAGCTCGCTCTCGTTCTTTGGTGATCATTTTGTGYCAGTAGGGAGTATGTGCTAATAGGGGTACAAAGATAGGGCCTTAAAGCAAGTTATTGAAGTCACAGTTAAAGAATYTACTCAAACTGGACGTTGCCTCTGAGCAGATTACAGTGAGCCTTTTGTTGTTGTTTGGTTTTGTTTGTGGGATGGAACCCCRGGGTACTCTACCACAGGACTACATCCTCATCCCTTTTTTTATTTTTAATATTTTATTTTTTAGTTATAGTTGGCACAATACCTTTATTTTATTTATTTATTTTTGTGTGGTGCTGAGGATGAAACCCAGGGCCTCTCACATGCTAGGCAAGCGCTCTACTGCTGAGCCACAACCCCAGTACCCCCATCCCTTTTTACAAATTTTAAAACTGGGTCTCTTTAAGTTGCTCAGCTGAGTCTCAAATTTGCAATCYTCCTGCCTCAGGCTCCCAAGTAGCTGGGATTCAGTCGCATGTGWCAGTGCTCAGCTAGTGAAGTTGTTTTTGAGATTATGAAAAAACAAAGGAAGCCTAGAGTTAATGGACTGAATGTGACTTGCTAAAATTGAAAAACACTTGTAGTTAAATCTCAAAATCCTATTTTGACAAAATGTGCAAAAATAATGCCTCCTCTGCTTGCCTTTCCCTGTTTAATTTCCAGTTTCAAGCAAAACCACAGGGATTTGAAGGGCTTCTCATTGATATCTAAAGGGCATTTTAAACAAATAAGTAAYATAATACCTTTTGAAGCAGATAAAATATACTTCTACCATATACACCTAATGAGAATATGCTAAAAAGCAGAAGTATTTGTATTGGACCATAAATCACATAATTTTATGCAGATTTCTAAATGAAAACAAATAGTTCTATTTGAAATTTTTCTTCAAACAGACAAACAAAAAAAAAAGGATTTCTAGATGTCAAAAAAAATTGTTTTTCAAGAAGCTTGATCTGTGGACCAGAAAATTATGCTTAACTTTCCCAAGAGTTCTGGGAACTTTTTTTTTAAATAAATGTGTATCTCATTCCTGATTTTGACATAGTAAAAAAAAAAAAAATAGGAAAACATGTCTTCCATCCCACTTGCATGCTTTAATGCCCTGATTTAGGCCCCTGTGTATCCACATRTATACTCAAACATATGTGTATATATACACAGGCAAAATTGCAACACAATAATCATTTGTCTGTTATACATCTGCTTGTTCTTTTTCTCTGATAAAGAAGTTAGTAGCTCCAATGA